TGAATTGAATTGAATTGCTACTATCTTAGCCATGTTAACTGCATGCGAAATTCAGCGCATATGACGAGGTAGTGCCCTGTTCACACCCTCTGTAGTTCCCATTACATGCTCCAAATATCCTGTAAGCGTACATCTACTCGTGTAACAGTGATACTACTGATGGCAAGGCACGCGAGTAGTATGTTGTTCGTGGAATTTTGCTTTGCGTCTTTTGAAAACGTGAGATCTGTTGCGGAATTCGTGGGGTCACTTTGTAACATTTGCTTGGATTTGACCGAGGAATGATTGGAGTCAACGAATCTCCAGGACAGTTCAAGAAGATGCGTTCGGGATAAGATGGTGTCCAGTTTTTGTAAGTAAAATGCAAATTGGAGTTTTGCTTCCCTGTCCAATGGTCTGTAACCGGTCAGTTGGCATTTCCTAATAAATAACTCCGCAGCGAAGGCTTTCTTCCTTTCACTCGCAGTTTACGGGGAAGAATATCGGCGGACCTCTATGAAGTGTCCGCTGTGGAATACATATTAAACCATCATGTGAATCATTCAAACTGTAAGTAACCTGGTGGAGAATGAAGACATTACAGTAGTCCCGAAAACTTATCGCTCATTGACGCAAGAGTACATGACTCGATCTGTGGCAATGAAAGATATGGACGACAAATCCCCCGAGAGCTGGGCAGTCGCTTACGACTGGTTACTAAACACAGCTCTTTCAAATACCAAACGAGGTGAATCGCTCACTTGGCTTGGTTCCCTAAAACTCTTGAAAAATTCACTCATCTGAAGATACCGAACTGGTGTTTCGTTGTTCTAGGCTCAGTTACCTCAAATTCGGTTTAAATAACTCAGCCCCTTTGCGAATTTGACACCTGAAAGCCCCTATATAGAAAAGGTCTCGTGAATTGGACACAGTGCCTGGTTTGTCGTTAAGTACCTGGGCAGCGCACAACACATATCGCTCGCTAGCTGACAATCCAGTGATCCAGCAATGTTTGTTTGTAGGGTGAGAAGAGATTAGGGAGGAACATCGGTGGACAATGAACTGTGCTGGCTTCCCAAGCTTGGGAAGATAGTTAGATTTAGGTGACCCGTGAGGCAGGAGCATTCGGCTTTCCTTTGTGGAATTTGCCTAGTCTGACCTGCGCGGCTGCTTGGAACTGAGCCAACCCGAAGGTGCTAGGAATAGTTAAGAGATGCCTCACTTCTGACGATGTGGGGCATAGCAGGTATGCTTGGAGTCAGATTTTGAGCTCAAGGTAATGTTTAGTTGTTTTTTGATCATATGAGGTGGCTCACATGCGGCGACTGCGGTAATCGAGATGTGCGGTTTCTAATTCGTCCTTCATTGGCGGGAGGTAGTATCAGTCCTTCCGTGCTGCTCGCCTGGAACAACCACCTTAACACCTTCCAGGCTCTATGGCTGAAGACAACACAGGTTTGCATAAGGCCATCTCTTAATCCGATTGCCCCTAGCACAGGATCTCGTTGCTGTCGATCGTGGCGTTTCCGGGTCGGTTGAAACTTATAGAACGAAGTTTCAGCCAACGTAGCCCGCAAGGTGATCACAGCCTCCAAGCCCGACTTCAAATAGGGATGTTGTAAGATAGAAACCTGATACGAGAGATTAGATTGCACCAGCGTCTGTAATTCAAAACGGAAGAAAAACGTGACCTGACTGCCTAGGATCAATACAAGGAAGCAAAAAGTTTGAGGCCTGCCAGATTCTCCGGTCACCAGATCAGTAGCAAACACCTAACCTCACCATAATGATAATGATAGTGCTTGGGCGACCTACGTTTACTACTCTTCAGTGAGCTCAAACTAGAGCTCTATACACGTGTCTATAATTTTCTACGTAAGTTGAAAGAAAACACCGCACCGAGAAGGTTGTCAAAACTGATTACAGCTTGAAAACACCAACCATCAGAAAAGGTATAGAAGTGCTGTTGGTTTAATGGCAGACGTCCGGAAGTGATATTAAAATATCACAAACGGATAACGTCGCCTGCGTTCGTTCAAGCAAGTGTAGTGACGTAAAGTTTCAGACTGACTGAAAACTTTTCAACAAACGTCATGCCTGTGATATTGTGTTCAATCATCGCGCACCCACATCCACGAAATCCATACATCACGAAACACAAAATACATCCTGCCTTTGGAGATTTGGCATTCACTGCATAACCGCGATTGACAATCGAGCTTCCTAAACTGTCTGCGAGCGGTTAAACGCTGAATATTCTAGTGTTCTGTGTGTGAGATTCACCTTGCTGGTAGTCCGTTCATACTTTGCCCGGAGACTCACCTGTAACGCAGCTGAATCTCTCGCCAGTCATGTTTTCAATAACTAGGCCACCTTATGCTTCAGTTGGCGCAATCTTCGAGTTATCGCGAAATATTTTATAGAGTTAACGCACTACTCATATGTTTCCAGCAACCTCGTGAATTGCGCATTACGTCAACATCATATTTTGCGAATAATCCGTCGCATTCAGCTTCCGCAGTCAACCTACACCCAATCCCAAAACAACTTTTACGTCGAGAAACTGATGGAACTGGTCAAATTCAAATCTATTCATGATCACTAACACGTTCTCGGTGCAAATCGCAATCCTCACGCGCTACAAGTATTTGCATAAACGACAACACGTGAGGCATTTGTGAATGACAATGAGAGTCAAACTGTTTCATCGCACTTGTTCCGGTCCACAAGAAGACGATTTCGTTCACAAGGTCACGCCAGTTGCAAGAAGAGTTGCTGGTCACATGCTGGGGGGAAACGAGCTCATAGTCTTCCATTCAAGTTAGCTGTAATTCAGTCCGAACCATCTCCATGGCTTACCTTCAAACTCAGGCCAAGGTGGACTTTGCTAAATGCAAAGACAACGAACCGAAACTTGTAGAATTTGATCCCAGGTGACTTACGTGGACGAGGTGAAAAGTATAGTTGATATTTTTGGCGCTTCTGAAAGTGTCTTGCGAATTGTTGCCAGTCGAAAGTCCGCAACACAAGATGGGACAGCTGTCTAGACAGGAATCCCAATTGATTCACGCCTACAATTTAACGCGATCTAATCAGGTGCATCCCCGCATTGAAGAAGAAACTGTACTAGTGGCATAACCCCAGAAGTGGAGTTATGCCAGATGTCCGGAAAACAGCGATTTTGAACCATAATTTTAGGAGTGCAGGAGCGGAGGTGTTATGTGTCCACCAAATAGACGTGGATCTCTCAGCCTAACAAGCATTACATGTACACACAAAAAGAGCCACCCTACATTACATGCGTCCAGACAGCGCGGTCAGTTCAGCTAACGAAGCAGTCATGGATCATGAGCGTCTCACTCCCTTTGCACAGTCTAAAGGAAGCGTACGCGTACGTTTAGTCTCATGTACTTCAAAGTTTGTTATTAGAACCGTTCATGTCAAGGCCGTGACATCCCCTGAATGGGTGTGCACGATGCGAAACGCTGATCAGAGAACTGGAGCTTGCGGAGTGAACCACCTGAAAAGTGCTGATAGCTTTCTGCGGTGACTGGGGAAGCGACATCCACATTCTCAAATACCACCATGCAATTAGTGTCAAAGAAAGAATGGGCGTTTATGCCTCAGTAACACTTCCGTACACAGCTCATCACGACCCAGCTGCACTGAATGCCTCCAGAATCTTAAATTGATAAGAAATTCATCTCACTTGATAACAATATCGGTGTTTTGGCTCATGGGGCGAGATGCCAGCCAATTGGATACTTCGGGCCGTTTTAGAAAATGCACTTGTTGGCAACAGTCATAATCAAGATAACAAAGATGGTGGGTGGAATGAAAAACATCCCCCATAGTCAACTTCACGAATAAAAGTTCTCCTTGAAGGGACATATACAGCTGGCTGGGACTTGGGTGTAAAATGTGGGTGGTGGAGGATCTCACAAGCCGATTAGAACTGTTAGACTATAGGCATTTTGCGTTCAGAAAACAGTAGGAACGGATGAATGAAGGTAGTAGATACTGTTTGGAGAACTGGTTAGTCAATAATCACGCAGTAAGTAGGAGCAGAACCACAGACACTCAACCGACGGGGCTTTGAATAAGGGCAGTCAGACAGTTTAAGGGGGCCGCATTCGGAAGTAACGTCGCAGAAGTCAGACAGTAATGAAATCTGTTTACAGTTATCAGTTGACAGCGTGACGGAGCATGTGTCAAGTTGAAGTGTGTGCAAAGGCTCGTTTAACACGAATCTCAACAAGCACCATTAGGTGAGGTGTAGTGCGAACGTTACTGAAAAATAGAACCTCATGCGAATGTGAGTTAGTGCAATACATAACGCCTTCACCGGCTATCTCCAGGGGATTCGGATACGATTCACGGCCGACCCAGTTCTTCGTCGGAGAAGACATTCAAAAGTGGACAGAGTTGACACGAAATAACAAGTAAGGATGGATTGGCAACATGATCTGGATACAACTGTCTAGAGGCCAGGCTGGAGTTAAACTCAGGGCATGCGCAGCAAGAGAGCAAAACGGCGTTATAACAAACAGATTTAAGTCATGCTACTCATCAGTAGTCAGACAAGCGAATGCCGATTGTCGCTGATTCACAGATCAGCGGAAATTAGTTCTCAGTTTCTGCATTCATGATTAAGTGAAAATGAGGCTCACAAAATATGTCTTAGTCGCGATAGCGGACTGCAGAGCATATATTTCAGGTGATGGCGCCTACCATGATATGCAACCCTGAAACCAACGAGGACAATGACAGTGTAACCGAAGGGTATTTTCGTACGACTTCCACACAACTGAAGAGGAAGAAGTTTCTGGTGGAAACAAAGGGGGATTAGGGAAATTTTTGCAAAAAAGCAGTAGCCGGATGACTATCCTCTGAAATAGATGGCGGCACTCCGCTAACAGTATGACGCAACGTCGTTTGTGAAACACATTCAACACAGGTCCATGGGTGAACAAAACTGTGGCAACTACAACCACTGTACGACGAGTACGCGTTTATTACAGCTGATGATGATGATGATGATGATGATGATGATGATGATGATGATGATGATGATGATGATGATGATGATGATGATGATGATGATGACAGGTCCATCACAAAACGACAACAACTCAGGTCCTCCATTCTGAACTTTCGGATGAAAATGCTGGAGAGAGAACCTGCACTGCGGAGTTTCGAACCGGAGGCCCAATCAGGCGACAATAACGTATATTCGGCATGGATGCGTGACTATCAAGCAATGCCATCCACATACGCTGAGTGTGCCACTCTTCAAACGAATGCGAATTCTACATGCAAGTGCATCTGCTTACTTGTGCCACTCTTCAAACGAATGCGAATTCTACATGCAAGTGCATGCTGCTTACTTTTTAGTGAAGTGATCGGACCAAAATGAATGAATGAAATAAATCCACGACTAAATTCACTTTGTAAGTAACTTAGTTAGCTCACTAGAATCGAATGCGCTACAAGAAGCGTGGGATTTGAAAGCAAAAACACCAAAATTATTCCTTTTCAAAGAACAGTAACCTGATTGACGGTTCATTGGCCAGCTTCAAAGGGGAGGTAGCAAGACTTTGATATTTGGCCTGGGACATTACTCATCTCTTGTGGGTTAGTAGAATGATGTTACCCTCTGAATCCACCTATCATGTTGGCTTTTCCTAACCCTTCTTAGCCTGATATCTGCTGCGCTACGGGTTGCGCTTGGCAGTGAATTGGCTAGAAGTATACCTTCTATTAAAAGCCGAGTTACTCTGGGAGCAACCCTTGACAAGTTTCCATAAAGATCCAACAATAATCCTGTTCATTCCCCAGGGTTCCCGTTGGTCCAGAAGCTGCCGTGACCAGAATGTACGTTGGGGTTCTCAGTGCTTCTCCAAAGTCATAAAAAGTATCTTCATTTATTGATTGTATTTACCGGAATGTCAGCAAACTACATGACGCTTTCGGCCAAGGCATCTGCACAGGCGGCTTTGACGATCAGTCTTTTCGATCAGAAGTCAGCAATATTTCGAAGACCTTATTACTTAAGTCTGGTTCATGGCGAATCCAGGTTCCTGGATCAGACGCTTCTCACTAGTTTTATCTCAGCCAATTGGTGAACGACTGTGGTACTAACTATATTACAGTTGTTGTAGGTGGCCGCTCTGACAATGCACACAGTTCCTGGAATCCTCAAAGCTTACGGTGACTCGTACAAAGATACCCGCTTGGACTTAACCATAGCAGTTGTTTATGCCCACCATCTGTATGGGACTGAGCAGTGGAGCAGAAGTTCTTTGAACAACTGCATCACGTGATTGACAAGTACTCAAAGTGAAATCTGTTGACGAGATGACAAAATATGTGCCATTTACTCGGCATCTGGGGTTGGTTCAGTGCCAGGAAATCGGTCAAGGCTTATAAACTTCATTTCCCCAATCAGCTAATTGTTATTGAAACATAGTTTCTGCCTTTTTACACAAATGTTCAAGCTAGGATTAAACTCCACCTAGCTAACGAAACAACCAAAATCTATCAACACGGCCACTCAGCCTTTCAGAGAACTAACAGACACGTTCCGACGCACCAGCCACCAGATTTGATGCCAGCAGCTCTGAAATTTCAGCTGAGCAGTTAGTTCGGAGAAGCACTCAGTGGATAGTTTCGAAAGCCGTTAGATAAAAACCCGTTTTGGACCAGTTCTAATACGTTCTTCAAAGACACGTCAAGGACTGTATCCCTGGGGCGACAGTTTTCTTATCCAAGAAGGTAGACCGTTCCACCAAAATGAATAAATTTCACACAGTGCGGTGGTGTCATTAGAAAAACTGAGAGAAATTCCAGCTCATACCGGACAGGCTGCAACGCTGAGAAGCAAATTTCTGACTTAAAATAAGGTGTAAGCCAAAGTTTTCGAAAAAGTTTGGTGATTTATTGCTTGGTAACGTTTCGCTTTTGACACAAAAGCTTCTTCAGGCCAAGTGACTAGGCTCCGAGGTTGGTCGAGATTCAATAAGGCGAAAGGAGAACCGATCAGCTAAGTCAAGCTAAATCTCTGTTGGGTGTCGGCCGAGGGATTTTAGTGTGTTAGAGTGGTTGAACAGGTGTTGGGTCGGTGGGGAAACCTACATGTGTTTGGGTCCAGCCTAGGGTCTAGTTCTTCTGGTTCAGCGGACACTTTTGAGTCAAAATATGGCTTTGAAGAGTCGTCGGAAAGCCGCTATGTGGGACACAAGCGGAATCCCTTAACTAACATGACGACGGGATAAGCACATGGGCGGAATACTTCAAACAGCTTTTAGACCACCAACAAACAAAAACAACGCTGCTGGCGCGACCTTGTCCGGCCAAGCGGTAGAATGTCCCGTCAGGAGGGATTTAATACATCATTACTAAAAATAGTACTGTAGATGAGTGGATCGAATCAAGAACCTGGGTAGGGAACAAGTACACTGAAATTTTTCAAGCCGGTATTTAAGATGGTATTTCTCATTGTATATTGTCGTTTTTCTCGTGTGATTCTGTGCTCCAGATGAAGAAACTTTCGGATTTTTCAAGCCGCACTGAATTGCTTCATTTCCAGGGCATATCAATTCCATCAGATTTCTTTATTAGCATGAAGGTCGAGCCTAGGCACATACCCAGTATCCTTCTGGTAGGATGGCGGTCGGGGTCGAAGGAGGTACAACGTCTCAAATTGAGCTTTCCAAATTCCAGGCGATCACTGATAAACCACGCATACTGGGTTTCCAACCCCATGAATGGCAGTGCCTTTGTCGCGCTGCCTACGACTCAAGTGTCCTCAACAGAGGCCTCCCTATTGGCCGATTTGATAAGACTGTCTGACCCGTGGTTCAGGAAATTTTCCGACAGCAAAATGAAGTTTTTCTTAGTTGTCACCGGCAGATGTCTTCGAAAAGTCTTGCCGAATGAGGGCAGGACGTGAGCTGACGTGTTTGGTCCAAGAAGATCGATGAGCAGCAATAGAACAAGGCCATCAGTTACCAGTGACTATTTGGTCGAATTTGTTACATGGAGACTTCAGGTATCACAACGATGTCCAGTACCTTTGAAAAAATAGAACCTTTAGAAACGACTGGCCGTCAGTACCAACCCGGATACTATTTGGTCGAATTTGTTACATGGAGACTTCAGGTATCACAACGATGTCCAGTACCTTTGAAAAAATAGAACCTTTAGAAACGACTGGCCGTCAGTACCAACCCGGATAAGGTCCTGGTCTCATTTGCTGTTTTTTTTCTAATTTTGAATGAATAGGCTACCAAATTAGGTGGGGAATCCACATTTTGCCTCTTGTCTGTTCCGTTATTTCTTGGCAAACTGTTATGGGAGAGTTATCATGTCCATCAAACTGTCTCCGCTCCTACTGTGCTCCTGCTTAGTGGGTAGCTTCGTGGGAAGAAATCAGAGAGAAAAATGGGAGGAAAGATAGAGGACGATAACTCCACACAAGGAATGGACTTGCGGATGTTGACACCTCAGCCTGACAGCTAAGATTTGATAAATACGGATCAAGACCTGTATTCTATTAAAGTTATCTTTGAAGAAATAGTCCCCATGAATCCGTGAGGAAATAAGCCCGAGTTTCCCTTTATTGTAATTCGACATTTCAAATATACTCAACTCCTAAGCAGGGACGGGGGCGAGATGGAGAGTGAGATGGCTAGAGCGCGAATTTACTGACCGGAAGGTCCGTGGTTCGAATCCGACCTCTGCCCCTGCCTAGGTTTGGGAAACCTGGCAGTATCCCAGCCCTCGTGTCTCCTTCGGGTGGCATGGCAGCTAGGCACCGAAAAAGTGCTACAGCTGAGCAATTAAGCAGGGACCGAAAGTCACCCATATTGTTCCGCTTCATAGTACTGTTGACCATACACCATACAACTTAGACCTTGTTGACCAGGCCTGAATCCACTCCTTGATTCCTAACCCAATGAGTAGTTTTTATACAGTGAGGTGAGTAACGCTTGACTACAGTGGATTTGAATTACTCCCCAAGCTGCTCTGCGCTACTCAGATCGCACCACCAATGATGACAATATTGTATACAGTAAAAATATAAATTGTTCAGCTGTAGCACCCTTTCGGTGCATAACTGCCATGCTACACGAGGGCTGAGGTATTGTCAGGTTGCTCAAGCCTAGACAGGGGAAGTCAAGAGGCAAAAGTCGCTTTCGACTCATGGACCTTTCGGTCAGTAAATTCGTGCTCTAACCACTGAACCATCTCTTCTCATACAGTAACTGTTGGTTAAAGGGGGACAGGACGGTGCAACACACTGTTCAAATTGCTCGATTCCTGGATAATGATAGCTGTTTTGCCCCGGTGTTAGCTTATCATCCTTGGCAGCAAGCTCATTCAGGGTGACGAGGGCTAATGAACATTATAAAATGTGACCAATACATTTGAATCTCAGATGGTCGAAATTTTTTTATATATTTACAGCGTTCGGCTGAGACGAAATAAAGCAAATAATACTCTCACGAAAGCATACTATTGGGGTTTCACCACCTGTTTTTTGAAGTTTTCCACCCCAGCGTAACGTCAGATTTAACGGTGAAGATCCAAACTGTTAGCTCATGCATGACAGTACCGGTTGTGACAAGGATTTAGAGCAGAGTCTTCCCGAAATGTGTCGCCAGACATGCAGCTGAGGATGTATCCAAAGCGACCAGATGCAGTCGCGTCAGTTTAGTTGATGTAAACGAGCTACGTGGGAGCCTAGGTCTCTTGACCCGTTGACCCGGAGGAAGCAGCAGTGTGAAAAATTCCAAAAACTTCATATCACTCAGTGAGAGAAGCAGAATGTTTCTGTAGTCATTTCTTCGAAGTGAAAAATTGCGTCAGACACAGGGTCAACCGAGTGTACTGTCTGAGATCCCGTAATGCAGCCAGGCTTATCTGAAAATACTCAAAACGAGTGCGCAAGCGTTGACTAAAACTATACTCGGTTAATTACTGCAGTTCATCAGGAACACTTACACAACAATTTCGAAACTCACTGTCGAAGTCTTACGTCTATGGAATTTCTGGTCTGGTCATAGGGTATGTTTATGGCAAGCTGCCCATGTTTGAATCGGCTTTGTATACTGCAGCACAAGCCAAACTACTTATGACGTTTAGAGTAGTGGGCAACCCGAAAGTTTTATTTGTCTGGTTGTTTGCAGTCATACCCGTTTACTCTGTAAACTACAAGAAAGTTGTGCTAATATCTGATACATCAAGTGGCAGCTATTTGGACGTAGCATTTTCATCATGGCTCGCCTGTTTAACACGGCTGAATATTGGCAAATCGGCCTAAGAATACCTGTTAGAATGTGTCCTCCGTTTCATCGTTTCCTAACTCACATCCATAAACCCATCTTAGTTTAAGCACTATAAAATTTATGACTA